AGCTGAGAAGAGCCCACGGAGGGACTCCCAGGCCTTCCCCCTCAAGGTGGACTGCAGTCACCTGGAGAGTCCCCCAAAAGACAGAGCACTCTGCCTGTGCAGAGAGTACGCCCGCACTAACGCAGCCCCACCTGTCCAAAGAGGAGACTCAGCCACTGGTCATGCTCAAGAGGTCCTGCCTGAAGAGACTTGGGTGGCTTTGGTGGGTTTTTTTTAAAAGAATTATTTATTTTTATTGCAAAGTCAGATATACAGAGAGCAGGAGAGACAGAGAGGAAGATCTTCCATCCGATGATTCATTCCCCAAGTGACCCAATAGCCGGTGCTGAGCTGATCCAAAGCCAGGAGCCAGCAACTTCCTCCAGGTCTCTCACACAGGTGCAGGGTCCCAAGGCTTTGGGTCATTTTCTACTGCTTTCCCAGGCCACAAGCAGGGAGCTGGATGGGAAGTGAGGCTGCCAGGATTAGAACCTGCACCTATATGGGATCCTGGCGCATTCCGAGTGCTGCACCAGCAGGCAGGCTGTGGGTCTTAGGATCCTCCTTGACAACCAAGGAAAGCAGGGAGAAGCAGGCAGACCACCCCCACCTGGCTTGCAGCATGGCCAGCAGCACTCTCGCATCCCTGCATGCTCTCCTGCTGAGCCGGGACACCCAAGGGGCTGAGAGCATGCCTTCTGTGCAGAAGAAACCACCATATATCATCCAGTGTCCCCTATGATCTTCTCCAATTCTGACATTCTCTGAGAGGACGATCCTTACACCACCTCACCAGCAATCACAGACACCCCTGTTGCCTTGGCAATGCACAGGGCTGAGGGCTCCAGCCGAAGCAGCTTCTGCTTGATTTCCTGACTCCAGATGCTCTATCACTCCTGGCCACGCCTCCCTGCACCCCTTCACCCCACACACCCTCCAGCAGCTGCACCTCCAACGTGGACTCAATGGGGCCCAAGACGGCCAGCACAGGAGGACTGCATTATCCACACTCCCAGAACCCTCCCTGGAGGCGGAGGCAGTCATGAGGATGGCGGCTGGCATTCCTGCCTGTCACGTGGCCATGGAATCCTGGTTCCGTCCTGGGGATGTTTAGGACCCCATTTGGCTCAGGGGGAACCTGGGGCTCTGAGAGCTGCTAGGCTGCTGTGGATCACAAAGCCAGAGCAAGACGACAGGAGGGCCACATGCTAGGCCGTGCAAACTGCACAGGTGGAACCACAGTCCAGCACACAGCACACCATGTGCGGGACCCTGAGGCAGTGTAGGAATGTCCTTGACCAGCTCTTTCCAACACCAAGCTGAGCACTCCTTCTGCCTTCCCAAAGAGATGCACTCCTGATAAGTTGCATGTACGCCAGGTTTTCAGAAAGCCAAGGCCTGCCCCGCTCACCCCTGGCCTGGCATCACCTTTCAGGTGACCACCTTCGCAGGAAGTGAAATGGGTGGTCACAGAGGCTGGCAGCCCAGTATGGCATCTTCAGGAAGAGCTCTCCCCTCCAACGCCAGCCATCTCCCCTGGCACGAGCGGGCTTGGGAGCACCCTGGAGAGCAGCCCACACCTAAAGCACACAGCAACCCCAGCCAGTCCTCTACCAATATCACTCTGTAGTCCTTAAGTCAGGAGGGGTCATGCTGAAAAATGGAGGTGCACTGGACGCAAATGGGCAGTCACAGTCTGGCCTGGGCACCTCGCACACTTTCCCCAAGTGAAGCCCAAAAACACATGACCTGGGCTCGGTGTGGTGGCCTAGTGGCTAAAGTCCTCGCCTTAAGTGTGCCAGGATCCCATATAGGCGCAGGTTCTAATCCTGGCAGCCTCACTTCCCATCCAGCTCCCTGCTTGTGGCCTGGGAAAGCAGTAGAAAATGACCCAAAGCCTTGGGACCCTGCACCCATGTGAGAGACCTGGAGGAAGTTGCTGGCTCCTGGCTTTGGATCAGCTCAGCACCGGCTATTGGGTCACTTGGGGAATGAATCATCGGATGGAAGATCTTCCTCTCTGTCTCTCCTGCTCTCTGTATATCTGATTTTGCAATAAAAATAAATAAAGTCTTTTTTTAAAAAAAGAAAAAAGAAGAAGCCAGAAGCCATGACCTGGCCAACATCACCCATGACCACATGAAGGCCCAGCTCTCCAAGGCCAAAGCCCCTGGGCAGAAGCAGGGTCACGTGCTGCACATGCAGGGTGTGCTCATGAACCCAAGCTTCCGCTTACCCCCAAGCCCAGGCCCCTCTCCATGCCCCACTGTGTAGGACACCTGCATCATAGGATTCAACAAAGTAAATACACACAGAGTACCATATCCAAACTATGGTAGCTACTTCTTTTCTTAAAGATTTATTTATTTGAAAGAGAGAGAAAGAACACTTTCATATATTAGTCCACCACCCAGGTAACTGCAACAGCCAGTGCTGGGCTGGGTAGGGCCAAAGCCAAGAACCAAGAACTCCACCCGGGTCTCCCACATACATAACAGGGTCCAAGAACGGAGCCATCCTCCACTCCCTTTCCAGATGCATTAGCAGGAAACTTGATCAGAACTGATCAACGGGAACTCAAACTGGCATTTTGACATGGAATGTTGGTACTGCAGGCAGTAGCTTGGCTTGTTGTGCCACAATGCCAGCCCCCCTCCTCTTCAAAAAAAAAAAAAATCTGTTTTTTGAAAGCTAGAGTGACAGAGAGACAAAGATTCTCCATCTACTGTTGCACTCTCCAAAAGCCTGCAATGGCTAGTGCTGGGCCAGGCCAAAAGCAGAAGCCTGAAACCCCATCCAGGTCTTCCACACGGGAGGCAGGCACCCCAGTATCTGGATCAGGCCATCCTCCTCTCCCTTCCCGGGCACACTGGCAGGCGGCCAAATCAGAAGCCGAGCAGCGGGGTTTAAACCAGTGCTCTGACATGGGAAACCAGCATTACAAGCAGCAGCTGAACTCACTGCACCACAATGCTGGTTATTATTTTTATTATCTCAATTTACCTCCAGAATAATTATATGAGATGTGCTCAAAGATTTAATCAGAAAGCCACCTGATTAGTGATACGATGGCAAAAAAAAAAAATCTTGGGAACAAACCAGAAGGCTAATTTCAGGACTCACGAAACAGGAATGGGATGGGACACAACAGCTGGAAGTTACACCTAACAGCAGCCTATCAATGGGCAGAAGAATATGTGCACAACACACTGTGAGTAAGTCACACGCTCGCTGCCACCTGTTGCCTCCCAAGAACAGAGGGTGAACCCCACTCTCAATCCTGAGGATGCCTGGGGTACAGATGTCATTATGGTTGACTGCATTCATTTTTTTAAAAAAATCCCAATGCAGATTTGGCATCCAGTCTATTATACATCCATGTTTGTTTTCAAAAAAATTTCCATTGACTACCAGTGACCTTGCAGAAAGAAGCCTCTTGTTTATCTTGTGGCTTCCTGGGGTACCCCTAGGGAGTAATCCACCCTTATTGTGTAAAAAAAAAAAAAAAGAAAGAAAGAAAGAAAACGAAGCTGTATGCAGAGGAGGCTGTCCTATTTTGGTATTGCCAGATGGAATGGGCATTAAAAGAGACAAAGATCACTCACCAAAAAGGAATACTAGGAATTAACATAAGGTACCTTTGTTAAATTTTTATTTTTATTTCAATTTGCAAAGCAGAGTGACACAAGAGACAAAGAGAGATCTTCCATCCAGTGGTTCACTCCTTCAAAATTCCTGCAACAACCAGGGTTAGGCCCAGCCAGAGCCAGGAGCCCAGAACTCACCTGGGTCTCCCATGTGATGGGGCCGACAGGGGCTCCACACATCACTGTGGACCTGGCACAGCCCTGTTGCCTCCCAGGGCACGCACTAGCAGGAAGACAGAAGAAAAGCAGAGCAGCCAACACTTGCAACAGGCTCTCTGACAAATAAGCTGTCTCAAAGGACAAACCCCTGCAGCCAATCCTTGATTCTGCTTTTTTTTTTTTAACCTGTTTTCTCATTTGTATTTTAAAAAGAAGAAATGACTCATATGGGAATTAGATTAGCCTCCAGGACTTTCCAGTCCACGGAGCTGACCACCACCCAGCGAGGTTCGCTCTGGCCAATGCCAATCAGCACAACCTGGTGATAACAGAGCTGGACCTTGGGGTGAGGCAGGACCAAGGACGAGTCTTACACTACTCACGAGTCGTGACCCCTCACAGCCTCAGGGCTCCTCCTGAGTTCTCCTGGAAAGTAGGTAACACAGTAGCTGAGGCCCAGTCTCTACTACCACACCTCTTTGCCAACCAAGGGCTTGCTCTACTGTGGACCCCTGAAGTTTCCAGGAGAAAGCCACTGAGTGGCAGGCCTCTTCCACCTCCAATCCACCCACTTCCCTCCAAAAGTCCCTCTCTGGGATCTGGTTCTTGTTACAGCAGCTGCTGTGTGATGGTCTCCAGCCAGGCCACCTCCAACTCCACCTCCCACTTAACATCCCTCACCATTTCACTCCTGTACCCATTTAAGAAATTCCTTTTCCATGCAATTTAGCACACACACACACATACCAAGCTATACAACTGAAACACGTGCCATGACATAATTCTTACCAGTGTACTCTCATATCTTCTAATCCATATTTGTTTTCTTTATAATGCTGATCACAACTTGCTAAACTGGTATTATGATCTATAGTTGCAAATATAATATCAGTAGGTGAAGTCTACAATCTAGTTTCAATATTCACTTTGTAAGTACATTTTCAAGGCCATCGCCATGGCTCAACAGGCCTTACAGCACTGCCATCCCATATGGGCAGTAAGTTTGTGTCCCAGCTGCTCCACTTCCAACTTAGCTCCCTCATTAAAGTTGGAGAAAGCAGCAGAGGATGGCCCAAGTGCTTGGGACCCTAGCCCCAGAAGAAGCTCATGGATTCTGACTTCAGATCAGCCCACTTCAGCTCAGATGCAGCGACTGCACCCATTTGGGGAGTGAACCAGCAGAAGACATTCTCATATATTTTCTCTCTCTCTCTCTCTCTCTCTCTCTCTCTCCTGTCAGTCTGCCTTTCCAAAAAAAAAAAAAAAAGTAAATGTTGGGATGAAAAAAGCAGCATCTCAGCAAAACAAGACGATAAAACATCAGTAATATCCTATTCCTTCATGCCAAGCACCTGCCATGAAAATCTACCTGATCCCCTTGGGAAGGGGGTACTCATTGTCCCCACAATGAAGATCAAGCCTTCAAAGAGTCAGCTTGCTCACATGTTAGAATGTGGGGGAGCCAGATACAACTCCGAAGCCTGGGGATATCAGGCAACAAGTTCCTCTACACCCAGAACACTTCTCCCACACGACCAACCATCAGCACGGTGGGCTCTCAGAGGAGAAACGCCATGACAATGCACTGGCAACTCGGCCAGCAGCAGGAAACGCACATTCGCCTTGCTGCTGCCGTGGAAACGGGTGGCACTGTCAGCCCAGAGTCTGGCAGCTCCTATCTCGCTTGATTCCAGCCAAGGATTATGAAGTCCAACTTCCCATTGGTAGCTTAAAATAACTCCTCTTGACCCTCCAGACAACATACCTAGAGACAGGAGGTGGCCAGAGCTGGCCTAGTCATAAGATGAAGAAGAATGCTTCAGGCAGCACAAGGAGAAGCCTGGTTTTCTAAAGGACACAGGCAAGCATTCTTGCTGCCACTTGGGGGCCAGGTGGCCAAGTCCACACATGCCAGTCCTCCATCACAACCTGTGTTCCTTAACCTGTAGGAGTTCAACCACACACACCACACACACACCACACACACACCACACACACACACACACACACACACACACACACACACACACACACACACACACCTGTCAAAAGAGAACCACAGGTGCCAACGCTGTGGCACAGCAACCAACCATGATGCCAGCATCTCAAATGAGAGCCAGTTCAAGCTCTGACTACTCCACCTTGGATCCAGCTTCCTGCCAAAATATCTGAGAAAGTGGCAGAAGATGGTCCAAGCACTTGGGGCCCTGCTAGCCATGTGCAAGAAAGACCTACCGGGCCCGGCGCGGTGGCGCAAGTGGTTAAAGGTCCTCGCCTTGCACGCCCGGGATCCCATATGGGCGCCGGTTCTAATCCCGGCACCCCCGCTTCCCTTCCAGCTCCCTGCCTGTGGCCTGGGAAAGCAGCAGAGGACAGCCCAAAGCTTTGGGAACCTGCACCCGCGTGGGAGACCCGGAAGAGGCTCCTGGCTTCGGACCGGCATAGTATCGGCCCGTTGCGCTCACTTGGGGAGTGAATCATCGGACGGAAGATCTTCCTCTCTGTCTCTCCTCTCTGTATATCCGCCTTTCCAATGAAAAAATAATAAAAATAAATCTTTAAAAAAAAAAAAAAAAAAAAAGAAAGACCTACCGTGCTAAGTTCCTAGCTTCAGGCTGGCCCAGCCTCAGTCATTGTGGCCATGTGAGGAGTGAATCAGTAGTTGGAAGATCTGTCTCTTCTGATCTCTCTGACTCTGCCTTTCAAATCAATAAAACAAATTTTTAAAAAATAAGAACTATGCTTTCACTGTGCCATCAGAGCTATCTCTACTGTCCCACATTACAAATTTCCTTCACGTCCATCTATCTGTGCCAAGAACACACATAACTCACTGTGGACTAATTCTCTGTCCCCCAATTTGAGAGATGTTAGAGCATAATTGTGACAACTAGTAATTACGGTCTTTGTCCTAACTTCACTATTGCTTCTTAAGGAAACAGGATACCTTAGAAATTCATAAAAATGTTATTCTTGCAAGTCTACACTCATTTGCAAAGAACTTTAGCATGATACCATCTCACTTACCCAACCACAACTGTCAGCATTTCATGAATACCAAGGTTCAGAGAGATCAAGGCACTTGCCCAAGACCACACAGCTACTTTGGTATCAGAGCTGGGGCTCCAACCCGTAGTCAGGTTCCAAATTCTATGCTCTCGTCACCACCCAAAGCTCTTAACTCTGTGACCTGAGGAGTTAGAGCTACATCTAAAATAGCTGGAAGAGTGGCCAGCATGGTGTCATGGCATGCTGACCCTCCATTACAATGCCAGGATCCCACATGGGCACCAGTCTGTGCCCCAGCTGCTCCACTTCCCATCCAGCTCCCTGCTAATGTGCCTAGGAAAGCAGCAGAGGATGGCTCAGGTCCTTGGGACCCTGCACCCACATGGCAAACCCAGAAGAAGCTCCTGGCTCCTGACTTCAGATCAGCTCAGCTCCAGCCAATGTGGTCACTTGGGGAATGAATGAAGGATAGAATATCCTTCTCTCTATAAATCCGACTTTCCAATAAAAATAAACAAATTTTTTTAAAAGGCTAAGTAGAGAACAATGTATATATAAGGCTTCCTCAAAGACGATCTTTTAAAAAAGTGAATATGGATACATGTATAGATCACATAGAAACATTATTTTTCCCTAGAAGAAAACCAAGGATACCCACAATGATTACCTTTGAAGAGAACTCAGCTGTCCCTCTTAAACACTGGGATCCCTCCCAAGATCCTGAAAGCACACACAGCACCCACACCTACGACCAAGTTAGCGTACAAATCGGGCCCTAGAAGCGATTACCAAGAAAAACCAATAATAATAAAAAAGGACAATTAGAAGAACATACTGTAACATTCTTTTTTCCCCTCCATACAGAATTGCCCATTTAACACTGTCAGACCATGGCCAACTCTAGATAACTGAACTCTTGCCAAGCAATACTGCAGCTCAGGGTGGCGAGTACTTCTGTGCAATTTCACATTGGAGCTTTGGAGCCCAGACCCGTAGGGCAGTTTGGCAGAATCTCTGACACTCCTAAGGTTGTTCCCGCGACGGCCGATTCAGGTACCCCTCCTGGGGAGAGGGCTGGCCCTCCCCTCTCACACCCCAGCCACCTTGGGACAAGGCTAGAGGTCACTGTGTTAGAAACTCCGTGTGGGTGTGGAGTTTGCAGTCTCTCACCCACACACTCAGCTGCCATGGCGGACACAGGGCTGGGTCCTGGCATGAGCAGCCAAACACAACCTCACTCCTGCCAGGGACAACGACAAACAGCATCTGTCCAGGCCTCAGAAATGGCAAGGGGCACACTTCCCTCAAGCGGGAAGAAGGAAAAGTGGAACTGAAAATTATTTGCATATTTAAAATTAGATGTCCTGTGGGAGCTGACACTACTTCACTTTCCAAATGCCTGCCCCTCCTCCACACCGGCCGCCGTCCCACTGTCCAGCATTTCCGTGTCATGGAAATCCTTGGACCATAGCTGGCCGCTGCTAACAGTCACAAGGAAGCAAGGACACATTCCCCAGAGCACCAGTGCTCCAAGAGCTCTCCAGAGAAGCCCTGGGAGGGCGAGCCACTCAGGGAGGGACATAAGTACTGGGGTTGTCCAGAGCGGCGGTTGCCCCTGAGGCAGAAGCAGGGACCAGTCATTTCTCAGAAGAGCTAACAAGAATGTCACCACCCCCACAGCCACTGTCACCAAGATGACGGCTCTGCTGGACATGACCTGAGTCCTGAAGAAGACTCCTGTCCCCCAACCTTGGCCATCATGCAGTACCTGTGCCCCTCAAAGGTAAGCTACTCAACAGCCTGGAGCCTTCTGCCATGAGCATGTCATAGTTCCACAACAACCTAACATCTTTCTTTAGATCAACTGTTTGTTGTATTTTATTTTTCATGGCATTATACTTAGCCTCTTCTGAAAGAAAAAAAAAAAAACGCAATGGCTTTACATATATCTCAAATTTTCTTGTCAGTACATCCTAAACTAAATACTTTAGAACACTGAAAAAAAAATGTTAGGGACCTGCTTTGTGGCACACAGCACACTAAGCTGTAGTATGCCACATCAGTACCCCGTATCTGACCGAGTTCCCTGCAAATGCACCAGGAGAACCCACAGCAGCAGGGGCCCTGCCACCTACCTGGGAGAGCAGGATGGAGCTCCTGGCTCCTGGCTGTGGCCTGGATCAGCCCTGATGGTTGCAGCCACTTAGGAAATGAGCCAGTGGATAGCAGATCTCTATCAGTCTGCCTTTCAAATAAGTAAATAATTATATTTTTTAAAAAAGGAATCAATCATGTATTGTGTCTGAGCTAAGGTCAGTGTGTGTAAGCGCATGCCTCATCTGTACCACTCTATGGGAAAAGCTTTATAAACATTTGTCCTAGAGGGTAAGACACCTGTCACAAACCCCACATCCCTCATCACAGTGCCAGGACTCCAGTTTCGGCTCTGCTTCCAGCTCCACCTTCTTGTTAAGGACCACCCTGGGATGCAGCAGCTCAATATGCAAGATTCCAGACTGTAGGAGGCCTGGATGGAGCTGCCAGCTCCCAGCTTCAGCCTGGCACATCCCAGGCTACCGAGGGCATGTGGGGAGTGAACCAGAAGACTGAAGCTTGCTCTCACTCTCTTTCAAGTAAATAAAAACATTTTCAAAACTTCAGAAACTTTTTTGTTTCTGAAACGTATCTGAAGCCCCATTTCTTGTCCATCCACATACAGCAGAAGCCACAGCTGGCAGTGGGACGGTACACGGGGTTTCATATGGCAGTTCCTCTTCTGTCTCCTTCGCTCTTCTCCACTGCCCACTACAGCAGAGGGACGCGCTGCCCCCACTTTCCAGATAAGGAAGTAAGGAGTCACAGGGGTTCAGGGACTGGCCCACATCGACAGAGTTACTCAGCAACAGAGCAAGAAGCTGAAGCCGAGTCATTCCATTCCAGACCCCAATCTGTCCCCACTAAGGCAGGCCTGCCTCATCAGCTCAGGCCCCAAAAAAGACACCAGCCAGGGCGCAGACACCTGGGTGCCTGTTTCCAATGGAGTCGATCCCACAGGGGTTAAGACATGAGGCGCACAGAATGACTCTAGCCTCCTACCAGCCTGTCTCTCGCCATCGCCGGCTGCCACCCCCTCTCCCTCAGCTGCCCACTGGAAAATCTCTCCCAACACAGGCAACCTCTCAAGAGACCCAGACAACACATTAGAGTAGAGGAGACAACCCCGGCCATGTCACACACTAACTAGTTGGGACTGTGGGAAGCTCTCAGCCTCAGCTTCCCCTTGGATCAAATGAGAACATGAATGACACCCACCTCTTCATCATTCCAAAGTGGGCAAACGACAAACAGCACTGCCTCCCTGCACACACAGCCTGCCACATACAACTTTACCTATTAATTTCACGATTGTCTGTGACATCATATCAGCAGGAAAAATACTTGGACAACTGCCTTTCACCCTGCACTCAAAAATAACTCCCTTGGCCAAAACAGCAAGTGAACTAAGAAGTAGTTACTGATGAGGCACCGGCTCACCCAGGGTACAGCAACTCCTAGGACTCGGAGCTAAATAACCTCTCGGCTGACCAAAATTGCTCAGTCAGGAGCCAGGATTCTCTTGGCTTCAAAAACCTTGAGTATTCCGTGATTATCTCCATCATGGGGCTGAACTTGACGCGAGCTCCGAGTCACAGCCTAACCATATACCAATCTGCTGTGTTTTTTTTAAACTATCTGCCAACAAAACATAATCATTTGGGTTTTCTGTTGTTGCCCCGAAGCTGAACAAAAATATTTAAGTCATCCCTATGAGAATTAACAAGCAGTTTAAACAGGAGGCAAAACACCTTTGTGTACTCTGGGGGAAGCAGGTGAGGAACTAGGCTTAAAGATCAGCTGTAAGAGATAATGAAGACAAGCAGTTATTATTCACCAGGAAACAAGAAAGCAAAGAGAAAGCAAACCAAAACACTGTCTAGAACACCGCTACCAGTCAGTCACCCACTTCTCATTTTCCATTCGAAGGCAACTCGCTGCCCCAGCTGATTTCTTCAAGACGGTCAGGAGAAAATGTGCAATGGGAAGGGAGCTGCTTTGTCACACAGCCTCACACACACACACACACACACACACACACACGCCAACCAAACAAGTGTGCAAAAATGCTACAGCAATGGGTGGGCGCAGATGCTGCCACCAGCAAAGGCCTGCTGTTGGAATCACCCCTGCCCAGCCTTCCTGTGGGGGAGAAGGCGAATGAGCTGCCAGGTTTAAAAACTGGTTTCCCCCAGACTTCCTAAGCACTGAGTCTTCCAGTGTCCCCACTCTCCAGCTGCTTCACCCCGTCTTCTGGAAGGCCCAGAGCTGCTTCTCTTCGATGAACCTGCTATGTTTTAAGACAGAATCTTAACACTCTCTCTTCTCTCCAGACCTCACTAAGGCAATCACCTATTAGGGACACAGTCTGATCTTTTCATTCTTCTTTCCTAAATAAACTTTGGGGGGGTGGGGGAAGAAGGGAGATCACAACAAAAACTCAATGTACATTCACAATCATGGGAACACACAACATAGTACTGTGCCCATGTTTATAAAGACCAAAGTGTAAACACTGCCCCCACCCCTTCAAAAAGAGAGCATCACAGAAGACTAGGGACAAGCAGGGACCTGGGTTTCCCCGGGGCCTTGGACTCCTCACTGTCTTCTCTGGATGACATCTCAACTCTAGGGACATTCAACCTAACCGGAAGGTCTGGGCCACCTCCAAAACGCACGGATACCCTACAAGATCCAGTACCAAAACGAACCCCAAACCCCGAAAGCTTGGTCTTTGAACCATCACTGATTTTCCTAAGTTAGAATGTATCCAACAACAAGACAATTCCAGAGTCCCCTTGTGAGTCTGCAGAACAAACTATAGAGGAAGGAAATATCAGAATACATGACACGCGGAGCAGCACTATGCTAATGAAACTCAAGGAAGGATTGGGCAAGAAATAAATTTACCCAAGAAATTTTCTGCTGATTCGAAGTACAACTAGCAACCACCGCAGCTGAGGTTGCTGAGGTCAAACAAAAGAAAAAAGGCCATGTACCCAATTATAATACATTAAGTTCAAATTCTGAGTGCAAGCTTGGGCATAAGGGGAGGCAGTGGTGCTAACCTCATAGACTTTGCCGAATTTCTTACAGGGTCAAGCAGAGAGCTCACACTCACACCACACCTTCACGATAAGGCCCTCTGCAAACCCTCTGATGTTTACAAAGTTCTTCTGGCACCTGCCAGGTGCAAGCTTCTCAAACAACTCTTAGCAGGCAGGTGGTGTCACACCCATTCTACAGATACTGTGAACCGAGGCTGCGGAGGAGACCTAACCCTGAGGCTGAGCCCAGACCCTAGTCTTCAGACACCTCGTCTAGGTCAGTGTCCCCTGCAGGAAGTCCCCCCTCAAGACAGCCGGTGGACATCCTGCTGGGGATACTGCGCATGGCCACCAGCACCCAGGGGGACCCCCGAAAGGTCCCGGCATCAGCTTCTTCTCAAGCTTTAGGGGCAGGGACTGATGTTTCTTATCTCCAACGTTTCTGCGTTGGTTTGGTCAAACTTTTCCCTCAACCAGCCTCCATGCCCAGCCCTGAACTGCCTCCCCAGTTTCCCAAATCCCACCCACCGCTTGAGAGCCGGTATCTGCATGCAACAAGCAAGATGCCCTCCACAGCAGCGGGCAACTCCCGGAAGGCAACGAGGACCACCTGGCCGCTGGCTCAGCTCCTCGGGCGTGCAGCGGGACGGGGTGATCCCACTCTTTCACTTCTCTCCCCAGTTCCCTTTCGGCGAAATGGGAATGTCCCCCAGCTGCCCGGCCTCACCTCTTACTCCCACCCCACAGCCACCCCTCCCCAAGGAACTGCCCTGCAGGGGGAAGGGTCCGTCCCCTAAACGCCAGCAGCGGCATTCTCCAAAAGAGCGAGGCAAGACAGGAGGCCGCTGGGGGAGAGCCGGCGTCCACAAAGCGTGCATTAAGCCAGGAGAAAGCAAGCGCCTGCGCTGGGGACAGAAAAAGGGGAAGAAGGGCGGCTGCCCTGGGGAGACCGAGGGCCTGAGAACTTTCCCCAGAAACACTAGGGGCTATTGCGCCTCGCCCACCACCCCGCTGCCCAGTGCCGGCGCCCCGGGGCCGCCGCGGCTGCCCTTCAGCCCGGCCCCTCGGGTCCCTGCCGGGCCAGGTCGGAGGTCGGCCGCGACTCGGCCAGGCCGGCCGCGCTCGGCGTCCAGAGCCCTCCGCAAACACGCCCCCTCCGGCCGCCGGCGCGCGCGAGCCGGGCCCGCGCTGGCCAGATGTGACCAGCTCCCGGCAGGGCCGGGCCGGAGAGCGCCTGGAAACCCGCGCGAGGGGCGGCCACCCAGAGGTTGCGGGCACCCCCGGAGCCCCAGTCCTGTCGCCCTCCCCCACCCACCCCGGCACAGGACGGCCGGAGATGGGGCTCAGCCTGCAAGGGGGGAGAAATCCCCGCGATCCCCCCCCTCCCAGAGAGGGACTCCGAGGATCCCAAACCCCATCGTCATCACCTTTTCCCGAGCTGCCCACCCACCCCCCAACCCTCCTGCTCTCCGTTCTCCCAGTCCGGGTACACCCGCCCGGGCAGGTGCAAGGAAGGGGATGCCAGCCCGCCCGCCTCCCCAACCCCCGCCGTCCCTGCCGGGGCCCACCCGCCGGCTTACCTGGCCCAGGCGCAACAGCAGCAGCAACAGCGGCGGCAGCGCCCAGCGCAGCCCCGGCCAACGCGGAGGCGGCCGCGCCTCCCGCGCCGCCGGCTTCATGCCCTGCGCGCTCTGGAACGTGCCCGGGACGCGCGAATCGGGCCCCGGCGAGCGCCACAGCCCGGGCTCCCGCGTCGCCGCCTCCAGCCGCCGCCTCCGCCTCCTCCTCCGCCAGCCGGTCCGCCTTGTCCCCGCTCCGCCCGCCCCGGGCTTCCCCGGGGACATGGCAGCAGCGGCGGCGACGGCCACACAGCGGAGCCCGGCGCGGCGGTGGCGGTGGAGGTGGCGGCGGGGAGGCGGCGTCCCCGGACGCGCGGGGGCTTCGCGGGGCGGAGCGAGCGGCGCCCACCCCCAGCGCGCGGCCCCCGGCTGCCGGCGCCCGCGGCCCGCGCGGCTCCCGCTGCCTCCTCGGCGCGTCATGCGGCTCGGGCTGCAGGGAGCCGCGGCGAGCGCACGGCGCCCTCGGCTCCCCTCCCCCTCTGAATATTCATCGCTTCCTCCCGCCCCGGCCGGCCAGGCGGGCGGAGGGGCAGGCGGGCGCGCTGCCGCACACAGCCGCGGCCCCTTCGCGTCCTCCCGCCGCAGCCCCCGCCCCCGGCGGGCCGGCCGGGCTTGGCGGGGAGAGGGGAGCGGCGACGGCGGCGGCTCCCCTTGGGCGAGCGGAGGAAGCGCCCCCCGCCTCGGCCCTCCCACATTCCTGGGACTCAGGACTCCTTGGGCCCGGGACGCGGCTCCAAGGCTCCGGCGCCACGCGCCCGCGATGCTGGCTCCCAGCCTCAGAACCAGCTCCGCGGAAGGGGGTTTGGGGGTCACCAGCTTTTTTTTTTTTTTGGCCGAGAGCTCGGACAAGGCCACGCGGCCAGGCCTGCCTGCAGACAGCTACGTGCGGGCCATGCATGGGTGGGCCTGGGATGGGGAGGTGGGGGAGTAAGGACTCCGGAATTGCCGGAGGCGAGCTGTGTGCTGTGCTGTGCCACCAGCCTGGTCCCTGGGGCCGGGGAGAGAAGCCCACTGCAGCAGGCAGGACTCCAGCAGGGTCAGCTGTGCGTGTCCCTGGAAGAAGCGCTTCACCTCTACACACACGCTTATCCTCCCCACCCCCGCCCCAGCTGCGTGCCTCGGATGTGAAATAGCAGCACCCTGTATAAGATAATCATAACAGCCTATAGAAAAGAGGCTTAGCTGGCCATTGAGTGTCACCCCCAGTGAAGTCCTGCACACCCTCCTGACGCACAGTGGGCCTGGGTATTCATTAGCAAGTCTGGCCGTTTCTGTCTGCTTGTGGAAGGAGGCCTGTGAACTGAAAGGAATTAGATTATCGCACATACCGCCAGGCCCTGCACAGAAGAGGAAGCTCAGGGCCCGGCAGGCTGTGTCACTGGCCCGAGAAGAAGGCAGATGGGCCCAGGAGGAGTGCCAGGGAGGGACTGGTGACACAGGGCTGGGTTGAATTTCACCAGGCAGATAGAGGGGGCAGTGTCTCAGAAAGTAGGAGCAACTTGGCAAAAAAAAAAAGGTGCTTCAGGCTGAGACAGGAGGATTGGGGGACTGAGGAGCCCATGTTCAGGGGGTGACTTGGGTAACGCCCAGGGTAACGCAACTGCACTGGATTCTGAGCCCGGCGAGGTGGGGGTCTGGAGGCCCTTTGGGCTCCAGGTTGCCCCTGTGCAACATGGGCGCCCACTGGGAGGAGAATGAGAGCAGATCCCAGCAGGATGCAGAGACACCTCACTTGTTGACTGCGTTGTCACGCTGGTTAGCTTTTGTTTCAACATTATGCAATTACCATAATCCAGCAGGGGGTTCTGTTTTGGTCCCCTCCCTTTGGGACGTGGATGCTGGTGGCTTAAAAGGTGTCCCCTGATGATGCAGAATGGCTTGCTCATGGTGGCTTCTAAAATAAACGGAGGGCTGCCAGGCTGAATGGGCCCCCCTGCGGGGATGGTGACCTGCCCAATGCCCAGGTCTGCAGCCTGCCCCTCTGCAGATCTCCACACGGCCCAGCTCTGTCAAGAGCTTGGGGAGCCTCTGCACCCACTGTGGTTTGCTCCTGGATAAAAGGCAGGCCTGAACGTAAGCACTGGTTAGAACCAGGTTTCCCTATTGCATGCCAATGTAGCAAAATAGTACAGGGCTCATGGGATTAACAACCTGTGTGGGAAGGGAACTTCATCACCAGGAGGTGTGGCAGGGGCTGAGCGTCTCCTCCAAGCCTTGCCCTCTGCAGGAACGCACTATTTGTGCAGAGGCATAAATTGGAAGTGTATCCGGGCGTATCATGTCAAAGATGGTTTTTTTCCACACGCACAGAAGCACTTTTCCCTTACCAAAGGATTTGAGACTGAATTCAAGAGGGTGTGTCCCTTTTTTGAATATCACTTGCTCTAACACTTCTCAGGTACCCTCCATCTGTCCATAGCTCCCTTAAGTTGAACTACAATTTGTTGGAGATTTATCTCTTGGAAAAGGAAAGCAACAAAGTGAAAGAGAGCTTCCATTTGTTCATTCGGTCTCCAAGTGCCCACAACAGTGCGGGATCACTTGAATCCAGGAACCAGGAACTCTTTCCTGGTCTCCCACATGGGTGGCAGGAACCCAAGCATTTGGGCCATCCTCTACTGCTTTCCCAGGTACATTAGCAGGGAGCTTGATCAGAAATAGAGCAGCAGGGACTTCGACCAGCACCCATGTGGAAAGTCAGCATCTCAGGCTGAGTGTGCGGTGCACAATGCAGGCCCCTCCCGAGGAACTTCGGAATAAATCTACTATGCGAAGTTCAGGAGTTCAGGACATATGCACCTTGAGAACACACATGTGATGGATATTTAACTTCTCAATCGTGTCCACTTCATGCAAAGGCTAAGCCGTTATGGGATCTGGGGCCAGATACAGAAAGAACTAAAGAGCCGAACCAACAGGCAGGAAAGGTAGGTTCCTGGAGGTGTTCCATACTATTGATAGGAGTCCCCCCAAAGCTTGTCAAGATCTGGAGTTCCATACCTTTCCCTGGAGTGGGAATCTGTATGATTAACCCCACTGTTCAATTAATTTTCTGTTCCTTTCATTATTACCCCCGCTGAGCCTCAGTTTCCCCAATATTAAAATGGGCAGGGACCGGACAGGAGGCTTTGTGCTCCATTCTCCCACCGCCCCACCCCCCCCAGAAGAGGGAGGAGGAGAAGCATCCTGGGTTAATGAGTACTCCAGCACCCCACCAGGAAACAGGCCTGCTGGGCATGGGCTAGAACCAGGTCACCATCCCCGCAGGGGGGCCCATTCAGCCTGGCAGCCCTCCGTTTATTTTAGAAGCCACCATGAGCAAGCCATTCTGCAAAGCCCTCCTAAGCAGAATGGAATGTTTCTTGGGAGACTGGTTAGCTAATGGTGGAGGCACGGCTGCCCCGAGACCTTCCTGCCTCACAGACTTGAATCAGCATGGAAAAAAAGGCTTTCAGAAAGTTCTAAAAAAAAGAGAGAGAGAGAGAGAGAGAGAGAGAGCAGTGCTTCATCTTTGTAATAGTAACAGGATATTTCCTGCGGACTGATCCCCGGGCTGTGGTTAGAACTCTGTGTTTGTCCACTAGACTTGAGTTGCTCTCTCAACACGGCCTCGGTCACCTCACCTGCCTGTGCAGAGTCCAGGAATGCCTTGGCACTCATCTTTTGTTTGTTTCTGACTTCAGGCACTTACAACATTTTCCCAGTTCTGGGGTGTGTGTGTGTGTGTGTGTGTGTGTGTGTGTGTGTTTAGGGAGAAGCAAAGATTGACCTCCAAAGAGACAGTTTATAGCAGATACTCCCAACACAGAGGAGGAATTGCCTATTCAAGAATCCCCTTGAAAGCAGCTGGGAGAACAGAAATGACACTTCCTGCCTTACCCCTGGTAGACACCTACCCTGAACAGCTTGGTGGCGTCTGTGTTCTCAAGGGCCCTGGCACAAGCTTCAGGTGAGCCCCATGCTTTGTCACCTGGAAAGACATCCCCCAGGAGGCCCCAAGCTTGGGTCTCAGGGTACCTGGCAAACCAAAAGTAGGTGACCCACAGACTCCATTTGGAGTCTGTGGTTAGAGGACAAAGAGTGCTTGTGTAGGTTTTGAGAATGACTAGTGCACAGGGTTCGGAAGTGGCAAGCAGGGGGCAGCAGCACCAGTAAGACCAATGCCTGGGACCAAGAAAGCACCAAGATGTGCGTGGGCGAGAAGATGCAGAGCCAGCTCGAGGCCCCGGGCCTGGGCTCCTCTGCAGCCAGACCCTTCCAGGACTATTAAAAATACATTGGGGGACTAAGTACGGCTGGCTCATGGACCCACTGGTGTGGGTCTGGCATTGGGAGAGATCTGGCTGGAGGAGCCTGGGAAACTCCTCTGTCAGGACACTCTCCCTGCAGGTGAGTGCAAGAACTAAGACAGGGAGCAGCCCAGTCCAGGCAAAAATATGGTACCCACCAGCATACATTTGGTGAAGGTTGGGGGAAGGCCAGGCTGGGTCAGTCCATATCACCAACTGGCAAATCCGAGTATCAGAATGGAGTGTGGATAAGGCAGGGTCAGGGCACAATACCAGCCAGTCCACATGAGGTCCTGGATTGGGGACTGGCAGCGCTGGGCTAGGCTGTAGCCCCACTAACATGATTTGGAATTGGGGGTGGGCCTGTCCTGGCCAGGCTACAGCACCCACTGGCAAATGTCGAGGTGAGGGGGCTTTGCCAGTCTGGGCCACAGCACCCAACCAGCACATGTGAAACAGGGGGGAGGGGATAGCCCCAGTGAAGGGGCTGCAAAGACCCCCCTGCTAGGTCTCTACTCCCACTGATGAGCATGAGAGCTGGGCTAGGGGCAGACCAGGCAGCACAGAGCCACATCCGATGGCCTACATGTGAGCTGGATCAGGGAAAAGCCAGGCTGTGTGGACTGCACCTTCTGGTACATGCATAAGCCAGTTTTGATATGGACTGATTGAGACCTGGTGGTTTAGAAAGGAGAGGCTGGAGGATCTGTAGGGATCTGACTGACACAATAGCCTACTTGGGCCTGGTATCATGGAACATTGCTGACCACCACACACCAGTTCATGTGAAAGCTAGGGCTTGGGCTAGATCCTAGTACCTGACAGAATGTCAGAATCAGGGACTAGTCACATTAGTCAGGGCCATAACACTAACCATTACGTGAGAGAACTAA